TCATGGCAAACGTATGCGTGGTGTTTACACTGTCAGGCTCTGTTCCAAGCACCTTACAGGTTCTGACTCATTTAATCCTCACAGCCACTTATGGGATAATTATACCGTTCTTCCCATTTTATAGAGGAGGAAACCAAAGCACAAGGATGTCCAGAACAGCATGTCCAGAACATACATTTAGTAAGTGGTAGATTCTGTTGAGCCCAGGCAGTCTGGCTCCAAGGTCCATGCTCACTCGCTCCCAACTGGGGTGGGGGATTGAACCTGTAACTGAGGTAAATGCCCTTGACTGGAAATTGAACCCAGGGCGACGCTTTAACCACTGAACAACCAGCCAAGGTGGAAGACTCTATATATAATGTTAATAAGCATCCCAAGTGATTCTAATTTAGGGCATACAGTACCATACAGAGAAATACTGATTCCTAAGAAGGATTCTTTCTTCTGAGAAAAAAAGTATTTTATTCATCTACTCAAGAAGCATTTATTAAGTACAAATTGTAAATTCACAATTGTATTAATTCTAAAGTTGGTATATTCAATTATTGGGTCCTTGACATGAAGGAACTTTTACTCTTATTGTAAAAGCTAAACATAATACACATTAGTTAATTTTAACAATTCAACAAGCATTTTCTGAACACTGAACATGTATCAGTCATTGGGTCAGCTTACTTCTATAAAAAGAAATAATGTTAACAGTGAAAAAGTAAGGGTCAAAAATAAGTAATAAAGGGTCCCAATCAAAATACTTATGGAGGCCGAAACCGGTTTGGCTCAGTGGATAGAGTGTTAGTCTGGGGACTGAAAGGTCCCAGATTCGATTCCTGTCAAGGGCATGTACATTGGTTGTGGGCAAGTCCCCAGTGGGAGGGGTGCAGGAGGCAGCTGATCGATGATTCTCTCTCATCGATGTTTCTAACTATCTATCTCTCTCTCTTCCTCTCTGTAAAAAATCAATAAAATATATATTTTTTAAAAATACTTACGGAGGCTTGCCTTGGCATAAATAATGCATAAATAAGTGTGGCTCAGTTGGCTGTGAAATCCTATGCACTAAAAGGTCCCAGTTGGATTCCAGATTGGGCACATTACCAGCTTTAGGGCTCAATCCCCAGTAGGAGGCGTGCAGGAAGCAGTCCATTGATGTTTCTCTTTCATCCATGCTTCTCTCTCCCTCTGCCTTCACCTCTCTCTCAAATCAATAAAAATGTATTTTAAAAATACTTATGGAGGCCCTGACTTGGTAACTTAGTTAGAACATTCTCTTGATACTCCAAGATTGCAGGTTCCATCTTTGGTGAGTTACATGACACAAGAATCAACCAATGAATGCATAAATAAGCGGAACAACAAATTGATCTTTGTCTCTCCCTCCCTCTCCTTTCTTTCTCTTTAAGATCAATCAATGAATAAAAAAAATGCTTAGGGAGGCCCAGCTGGTGTGGTTCAATTGGCTGAGTGTTATACCATGCACTAGGAAGTTGCTGATTCAATTCCTAGTCAGGGCACGTGTATGTGTGCGGGGGTAGGGGGAGGGGGGACGGAGACTGGTGGGGTGAGGTGGGTAGTGGGTGTTGGGGCTCAATCCCCAGTAGGGAGCATGCAGGAGGCAGCCGGTTGATGTTTCTCTCTCAGGACATTTCTCTCTTCTCCCTTCTTCTTTCTGAAATCAATAAAAACTTATTTTTAAAAAATATTTATGGAAGAGTGTATAGTACAGACAGAAGCCTTTCTATTGAATAATCTATAACTTAATCCTCAAAGCTATTTGGACTTAGAATAACTTCTAGTCAAGTGTTTCCCTCAAATTCATCTGAAGGAAATTAAACTAAATTTCAAGTTATTTAATTAATTTATCCATCCATTTACTCAATTACGTTAATGAACCCAACTGTACAAAGAAGCTTAAAATATTAACTCAAGGCATTTACCCAAGGGAAGAAAAAAATACACATATGCAAACTAAAATGCAAAGTAGAATATGAATAATAAGATTTAAAATTGCATACAGAAATTCATATAACAAGTGGAGGGAGGGCTTGGAAAAATATTAAGTACAGTACTCAGAAAATGTGGCTTTGGTGAATGAATGTAAGATTAGAGTACCATAATAAGACAAGGTTTTTGGTGTAGCAGAAGCAATGGGCATCGACTGAGAACTAGCAAAAGTCAGCCTGGTGGAGCGAATGACATTAGAAAAGACCCAGTGGCAAAAAAAAAAAAAAAAAAAAAAAAAAAAAAAAAAAAAAAAAAAAGGCAGGATATAGAGTTTCAACAGATTGGCTTGGTTTAGAACAAAAGGGTTAGTTGGTGGGTGAAAAGGAAGAGTGTGAGGTTTGATAAGGTATGGTACATTCTGATACAAGTCAAACTGTCATGACAAATTAAAACATTTGAAACGCCCTAACAGTTTTGTTCTTAGACTTTGATGTCTTTTCTTGTAATGAATTGGTAATAAAACATTAATTCTACCAGACCAAGCTATTTAAGTAATATTTTGTACACAGTGTAAAGGGAAATGCCATCAAGAGGATAATGCAAAATATAATGGAACAAATTTGAGAGATTATCTCTTCTAATTCAACCCTTCTTTTACAGAAGTGAGGTCACAGATCCAGGCAGGGTAGGGTGCTCTCTAAGGCCGTGGTCGGCAAACTGCAGCTTGCGAGCCACATGCAGGTCCTTGGCCCCTTGAGTGTGGCTCTTCCACAGAATACCTCGGCCTGGCCGAGGCTATTTTTGAAGAAGTGGCATTAGAAGAAGTTTAAGTTTAAAAAATTTGTCTCCCAAAAAAAATTTCAATCATTGTACTGTTGATATTTGGCTCTGTTGACTAATGAGTTTGCCGACCACTGCTCTAGGGTATTGAGGAAGCCAGGTGAAGCTACTGCCTCACTTACAGACAGTTGATGGAATCTTTAATGCTTACAACTCTACCTGAATATCATGATTATAATTATTTGATGATCAATATGAAAAATGTGAAACGTAAAAATTATAAAAAGAAAAGATAAAGACAGCATATACAAAAGATGATGAAATCTAAAGGTATGACATTTAGACCTGCCTGAATCAGGGCAATAACTGAAGGAAATGAGAGGAGAGGTCAAGAGACATTCCAGTTGAAAAGATAATAGTACTGCCCAGCCGGGTATGACTGAGTGGTTGAGCGTTAACCTATGAACCAGGAGGTCCTGGTTCAATTCCAGGTCAGGGCACATGCCCGGGTTGTGGGCTGAATCCCCAGTGGGGGTGTGCAGGAGGCAGCCGATCAATGATTCTCTCTCATCATTGTTGTTTCTATCTCTCTCTCCTTCTCTCTTCCTCTCTGAAATTAATTTTTAAAATATTTTTAAGCCGAAACTGGTTTGGCTCAATGGATAGAGCGTCGGCCTACGGACTGAAAGGTCCCGGGTTTGATTCCGGTCAAGGGCATGTACCTTGGTTGCGGGCACATCCCCAGTAGGAGGTGTGCAAGAGGCAGCTGATCGATGATTCTCTCTCATCGATGTTTCTGGCTCTCTATCCCTCTCTCTTTCTCTCTGTAAAAAATCAATAAAATATATTAAAAATATTTTTAAAAAGATACTAGTACTTTTTCAGAGTGACTGCCTGCATAAGGAAGCCAACAGATAAAATAAAGCAAAAGAACAAAACACCAAACCCCAAGTATGAACCTGAGTATCAGACCTGAAGTTGTTCAGTTGTATAAGGCAAAAAGTGGTAGCATTAAAATATATTTCATTAATAAAGTAATTTTTTTTAATTTTTATTTTATTGATTTTGTACAGAGAGGAAGGAAGAGAGATAGTTAGAAACATCGATGAGAGAGAGTCATCGACCAGCTGCCTCTTGCACACCCCCTACCTGGGGATATGCCCGCAACCAAGGTACATGCCCTTGACCGGAATCGAACCCGGACCTTTCAGTCCCCAAGCCGACACTCTATCCATTGAGCCAAACCGGTCCCGGCAATAAAGTAATTTTAAAAAAAGTAATTCTTTGCAAGATAAAAGACTTCTCAAAATTGGTTTAACAACATTGTGAATATACTTAACCACTGAGCTGTACACTTTAAAATGGTTAAGATGGTAAAATTTATTTTTTTTTTAAATTAAAAAGTAAGTGTCCATCATTTTTTTTAAAAGCAATTATTTTTTATTAATTTAAACTTTTGTCCCATCTACTTTGGAGCTTTATCAGCTTTTTCTATTGCAGGAACACAGATCCACTCAGGTCACCTCAGTTAATGGAAAGTCTATCTATTTTAAGGATACACGTGACAATAAAAGAGATAAGAATATCATAGGAGCCTAAGAATAGCAGTATGATTGGGCTTCAGTTGGGAACTAAAATGAACATGGAACTGGACAGATTCCATGCACACCTAAGACTGGGCTCACTTGTCACTCTTGGCTGCTGCTGGTATGCAATACTCCCCAACCACAGGCTGTCCCTGTTTCTCTCTGTCTCTGTGACTACCAGCCAACCACTTCTCTTAGTTATAGTTTCTGCTTATTCATGGTCTCTCTATATCCAACTTTCAACTTCTCTCCTCACAATCTACAGACTGATTCATCCTGTGTATCCCACTTAAAATTCTTGAAAGGAAAAAAAAAAGAAAGAAAAGAAACCTAACTGGCATAGTTTAATTTTCTTTTTTTCCCATATTTAAAAATATATATATGTTTTTATTGATTTCTTAGAGGAAAATGAAGGAGAAACATCGATTGGTTGCCTCCTGCACACCTCCTACTGGGGACAGAGCCTGAAACTCAGGTATGTGCCCTAATAGGAAACAGTGACCTCTTTGGTGCATGGGTTGATGCTCAACCACTGAGCCACACTGGTTTAGCTCAATTTTCAACCTAATTGTGAGTCAGAATCACCTGGAGAGTGTGTTGAAGCATAAATTATTAGGCCCCATTCCTAGCATCCGGCCGGAGCACCTCCAGCAGGGGGAAGCGTTTGCAGTCGTTCAGAAGGAAGTGGCTGAGATGCTGCGGGGCCGGATCCTCGTGGGACACTCGCTGCACAACGACTTGAAGGTCCTCTTCCTTGATCACCCGAGAAAGAAGGTTCGGGACACACAGAAATACAAGCCTTCCCAGCGGCAGGTGCAGAGCGGAAGGCCGTCTCTGAAGCTGCTGGCCGAGAGGGTCCTGGGCGTGCGGGTGCAGCAGGCGGAGCACTGCTCGATCCAGGATGCCCAGGCCGCAATGAGGCTCTGCGTCACGGTGAAGAAGGAGTGGGAGCGCGCGGTCCAGGACAGGCGCCCCGCCACGGCCGCCGCTCCAGACGACGCGTAGCGGAGCCCACCAGCCCCGGGGCAGCGTTTCCGTCCACAGGCACTTGTGACCAAGACACAGGACCGACGGAGTCTCCCAGAGTGGTGACAGATCGCAGCAGCGGGAGGCGCACGTGCTGCTGAGGGCCACCCCTTTCCTCCTGGCACAGCCGGCAGGCGGCGCTGGGCCCCTTGTGGAGGCCGCCGGCCAAGCCCCAGCACCATGTCCCTGTCTGGGTGGCAGCCACTGCGCTGGGTTCAGGCGGCCCAGGGCCGAAGCAGCCAGGTGTTCCCGCCTTCCTCCAAGGAGGCCCCTCCCTCTGCCTCAGGGATGGGGAGGTCGGCAGCCCGCTCAGCCGGGCCTCGCGAGGAGTCTCCTGTGGCCGCCCGGACCGGAGCCGGTGGCATTGCTCCTCCCACCCCACTGCCCGCCGAGTTTAACCCCAGGTCAGAGCCCGCGCTGAGGCCCCACCGGGCTCAGGCCGCCCGCGCGGGCTGTTCCTGCAGTGCCTCCCGGCCCGGAGCCCGCGTGCGGTCTGACCAGGGTCTCAGCTCCGGGCGGCAGCACCGGGTGCCTGAAGCCCGAGGCTTTGCTGCGCCGACAGGTACAGAAGGTCCAGCCCACCGAGGACACGAGTGGACTGAGTGTGCTTTACTTGAGGTGGGGCTGGGGAGCCTGAGTCTTCGCTCAGAATGTTCCGGAAGGGTGGTATCCGACACGGCCGCTGGCCCAGCCGGGGCTGAGGGCTGTACCGACCCGCATCCCGCACTGCCTCTTCCCCTCCCCGCCCCCCTAAGGAAAAGGCCGGTCAGCGGGCGCCCCACGCTGCAGGGCGGACGGCGCGGGCCCGGGGACCCGGAGGTGCTGGTCTTCTGGGGCCGCAGCGGGAGGCTCCTGGGCAGAGCAGGGCAGCCTGGCCGCCTCCAGGCTCTGCAGCATCCTCTCCGCGTAAGAGACCAGCTCCTGGGAGGGGAGTGGAGGGGAGGGCCCATCTCAGCTCCACAGCAGGTGCCTGAGTCCTTGCCTCTGAAAGCTGATGGCTGCCCTCAGGTTCAGGTGCCGAACAGGCAGGAGGTGCTGCCGCCCCGCAGAAGCCCCATGGGGCTCCTGGCCTGATGGTGGCAGAGGGGGAGGGTGGAAACCTGGTTCTCCGAGCGCTGCCCGCACTCACCAGGCTGGAGGTGAAGCGATCCTTGATCTCGTGGACCAGGGACTGGATGCCGCTGGACACCAGCTCGCACAGCGTGTCCGCTGTGGCCAGGGAGAGTCCTGAGGCCAGGCCTTCTCCCTCCTGAGCATTCCCGAGGCGGCTGGCAGGACTGGCTGGGCCCCAGCCTACTGAGGCTTAGCACAGACACCGACCTGGGGCTCAGGAGCTGGCACCTGCCAGCCCGGCGCATGGCGGGCACTCGGTCGTGTGAATGGGACACCTCAGGGGGAGCCGGGAGCAGGGATCCCGGCCCGCAGCGTGCGGGGGGCGGGTGCTCACGGTAGGAGGCCAGGTGGACCAGCAGCAGGCACCTCCGGGTGGTCCTTGTACAGCTCCTATGTGTCCTTGATGAGGTTGAGGCCGCTGCCCTTCTCCTCGGGCAGCACCACCCGCAGCGCCGCCAGCTCTGGGGGGTAGGAAGGCGGGGAGGCAGGACGGGGCTCATTCCCTGAAGCCCCGTGTCCTCTGGGAAATGGGGTGAGCGTGGGACCTCAGCTACGGGGTGGGCAGCCTTGGCTTCCTGCAGCCACGGCTCCTAGGTCAGTGTCCCCGCTGCAGGTGCAAAGCTTGTGAGGCGGGCCCGGCTGTTTCCTAGTGGGGAGGGCATAGGGGTGCTCCATGCACCCCGCGTCAGGGGTCAGCCTGTGTGAGCAGTGACCTGGGGACACAGCCAGCAGGTGCCAAGACACCCCTCACCCGCCTCACTCCCTGGGTCCTGCCCTCCGGACTGGGACAGCCCTGCTTGTGAGCGGAGCCGAGTCCCTCCCGCCCCCGGGACCTCAGTCTCCTGCAGAGGGAGGGTCCTGGCAGCCCCCTCCCAGCAGTGAAGGCCCCGCCTTCAGGCCCAGGCGGCCCGCTCACCCGACACCTTGGCGAGGCTGGCCAGCTCCGGGCAGGCATTGTTCACCAGCAGGACGCGGTCCTGGCACAGCCGGAGGCTTCGCAGGAAGAGCACCACCACCTCCTCCAGCAGGTGCTCCCCTATGCAGCCTGCGGGGGGCGGGGCGGGGGGCATCACCACCCGGGCCCAGGCACCCCAGCCCCGGGCCGGGACCAGCCCAGCAAGCACAGCAGCCAGAGTCCGCGCAGCCGGACTCCGCCATCTCTGTGTTCTGCGGGTAGGCAGCCAGCAGCCCCGCGATGAGGCCCGGGGCCTTCTCCAGGGGCACCTTGTCCGTGATGTCCGCTGGAACCAGGACGGGGAGGATGGGGTGCCGGGCCCTGGGACACGTGCCCCCTGACTCCACCCCACCAACCCTGACACAAAAAGCGGGGGGAGAGGCCAGGTGGCCGGGGTGGGGGGTCTCAGCGTCCTGGGGGTTGCTTGGAGACTTGTGCACTGGGTGTGAGCAGGCTCTCCATGTGAGGCAGAACTACGCCCAGGTGCTGCTGGGCCTCCGTTCCTTCCCTGGATCAAAAATGAGGACGACTCAGTGGCTGAGTGCCAACCTAGGGACCAGGTCACAGGCCCAGGTTGCGGGCTCCATCCCCAGTGTGGGGCATGCAGGAGGCAGCTGGTCAGTGATTCTCATTATTGATGTTTCTCTCCCTCTTCCTCTCTAAAATGAATAAAAATATGTTTTTAAAAAAAAGAATTATATGTCACAGTGGGGTGGGGGGCAGGCATCGGGATTTTAGAGATGCTTAGGTGGGGCATGGCCAAAAACTGATTGGGAAACACTGGGTTAGTGTAGTTTACAATTCTGCACAGCATTGGGCCTTAAACTAGGATTTATTATAAACTGGCTGCTGGGAGTTCAGTGTGCAAACATGTTTTTTTGTTTTGTTTTGTTTTTCAAACATGTTTTGTTTAACCACCAAATCTTGGAATGCTGTGCCACTATTAAATTGCTTTCATTTGGATTCAGTCATCCAAAAATGATCATTTTAATCATCTTCGCAACATCAAGTTACTGTCTAAGAAACTGAAATAACTTTAGTTAGTAAGTTCTCCATACTGAATTGAATCTGGTTGTTCGCAAATGGTTTACGTACTTCTATAGCCATCCAGTGCGTTGGGGTGCTTCTCCTTTTTCCGTGTACCGCATGGAAAGGGAGAAGGACAGGTTCCTGAGTGGAGGAGCTGGGGATTAAGAAATAAAGGAAAGGAAGAGACAAGAGGCAGAAATACCCTGTTTCCCCGAAAATAAGACAGTGTCTTATATTAAGTTTTGTTCCCAAAGATGCGCTAGGTCTTATTTTCAGGGGATGTCTTATTTTTCCATGAAGAAGAATACGGTACATATTTATTGTTAAATGAAAATAAAGGAAATTTATTACCTGTATATGGTACGGTAGTTGTCAACACAAACCAAACTGTGAATCCTACAGTATCAGGAATTTACTCATTTATTCAATGACAATCATGTCATCATCTTCTGGAACATCATCATAACAATCCAATTCCTGAATTTCCTGGTGAATTTCTTGTGACTCCATTTCTTTCAGAATCAGTGGACCAAATCTCTCATGTTTAGCCTAGGGGGGGCCTTATTTTCGGGGGGATGCCTTATATTTCACTCAGAAGGAAACCTGTAAGTAGGTCTTATTTTTGGAGGATGTCTTATTTTTGGGGAATCACGGTAGGTTCATCAAACTGTGTGCCGCGTGGATGCCGTCACTCTGATGGAGGGATAGTCAACACCCACCACAGACAACACAGCACATTTATTGATTTCCAGAGGGGGGTTTAAGGTCAAAGAAGTTTTGGGTCTGCCCAGATCCTATTCATTCCCTCATTCCTGGGATTTAGCATATCAAGACTTTGGTAAATTGAGGTCCTATTGGTTCCTCATTCCAAGCACAAGGATAAAGATAAGAAATCAGTACTGATAACAGTCTCCGTCGTTTTGTAGGCTGTTTCCGGGGGACAGCCCTGCCAGTCACCTTGAACTAAGCTGACATTAATTTAAAGGTCATCCATGCGCATTCCCAAGGGGTCCTCTACAATCCAGCACAATGGTTCTTAAACCATGTTCCCCAGACCAGAAGCATCAGCAATCCCTGGGAACTTGTTAGAAATGCAGATAGTCTGTCCTATTCTATCGATATACCAAATCTAGTGAATCAGAAACTCTGGGTTTGGGGTTGAGCAATATGCCTTCCAGGTCATTCTGATGCAGCTGAAGTCTGAGAGCCACTGGTCCAACATTTAGTTTTCAGATTTATTTAATTATTCTCTCTCTCTCTCTCTCTCTCTCTCTTTTAAAATAAATTTTTATTGTTCATATTATTACAAATGTTTCTTTTTCCCCCTTCTCCATTGCTCTCCTCCCCCAGGTTCCCACCCCACCCTCTGCCCTTTCCCCACCCCCCATGTCCTCGTCCATAGGTGCACAGTTTATGTTCAGTCTCTTCCCACATCCCCCTCTCCCCTTTTCCCTAAGAATCGTCAGTTCACTCCCCTTCCATACCTCTGATTCTATATATTCAACAGTTAATCTTGTTCATCAGTTGTTGTTTTTTTAATTTCCTTGGTTTTTAGATTCACTTGTTGATAGTTATGTATTTATTGTTCATAATTTTTATCTTTATTTACTTTCTCTTCTGAAAGAACCCCCTTCAGCAATTCATATAATTCTGGTTTGGTGGTGATGAACTCTTTTAGCTTTTTTTTTTTTTTATTAGTGAAGCTCTTTATCTGACCTTCGATTCTGAGTGATAGCTTTTCTGGATAGATTATCTTTGGCTGTAGGTTCTTACTATTCATCACCTTGAATATTTCTTGCCATTCCCGTCTGGCCTGCATGGTTTCTGTTGAGAAATCAGCTGACAATCTATAGGTGCTCCTTTATAGGTAACTACCTTCTTT